TCAAGGACGCTCTGCCGACGCCAGGCCTATCAAAATACCTCTAACGTTTCAGCTTTCCGTTGGTCCATTCCACCACGTGGTGCAGGACGGTGCTTCAACTTCAACAAGCGATACGTCATCGCTTACGCTGAACGTGGCTTACAGTCGGCACAACTCACCCTTTCCTCCACTACAAGGTCCTGCACAACTGCAGGATTTGTTTTACGGCCCTATGGACCAGCAGTCTCCTTGGATGCAGCAAAACCCATCTGGTGATTTCGGAATGATGCAGCCTGATACTTTCACGGCTGGATTACTCGGAGATCAAGCTCTAGGCATGGCTGGAGCGGGCGACAAGTCGCTGTGGCCTGCACCGTCTGTGACCAACGTGCAAGACGGTAAAACTACCAATGCGCAGAACACAACCCACCTTGCACCTCTGCCTTCACACACGCCTTTTCATTTTCCCGCCAGTTCATCTGGTCAGCCTCTCATGTCTCGCGGATGTTCGCTGGATCCAGCAGGCCAACCGTCTTCGGGATTGATGCAGAACTCACCATTCACCCTGCATCCTGCACCATATGTACCGCCTCAAGATCATGCCCATCCTATTCCAGCCACAAACATCATCCCGCCAACACCACTCAAGGATGGTGGCGGTAAGACTCCTGGTGCCTCTGCTTCCACTGATAATGCACTCCTTGCCTCGACAAGAGATCCTAGTCCAAAGTTGGACCTAGGTCACTATTCTCCGGCCACCACCTACCGCGTTCGGTTCCCTGAAGAGAGTGAGCCGAGAATGCACCAGGAGGATCAAGCGGTAACTGGCCGCAGGTCAGCAGATATGAACGCAGCACTCGACACTGGGTTTGTGGGCATTGAGCGTCACTTTCTTGAGCTTGCAGCGTCCACCGCCCTCCCCATGACTCAACTAATCAATTTATACCTGAAGTCTCGAGGACGCAGTGTGAACGGCACTAATTACTGGAATCTGTACGCCAATTACTTCAAGGACCACTTGCAGGAGGAGCTCGGCCGCTGTGAAAAAGAGAAATCAGAAGGCAGTGGGACACCTAGTAAGTTCATATGAAACTACGGCATGATGCTGCATGCTTAATTCTTCATAGGTGCAACATTGCGAAGAAAATGCTACGAGAAATTCAAGGACACCTTTCCCGACACCTATCAAGACATCCTATCGAAGCATGAGGAAGTAGCTCTCCTGAGCTCGTCTCCCCAAACTATTGCCCAGCGCGGACAAGCATTCCAAAAACACTATCGGAGTGTGACGAGCATCGTGCGTAATCTCTGCCGAAGTGACAACATTGTCTAACATATGTTATAGCTCGAGTCCGGCTCCGCTAGATTTGGATTTGAAGCAGCCGTTGTATTATGTGGTAAAGTGGTTAATGAAGACGGTTCGCTTGGTCATTCTTACAACACACCTGGTGCTGGTGGGGTAAGCTCATTTTCACCTTCAACGTCAACATGTACTCAGTAACTCGTAGTTCTGGGAAATGCGATGGTGCCAGCGATGACATGATCATCGGTCATTTAAAGGCCCACGTGTAGTAAGTACATTTATGTTCATGCTACATGATGCTTACATAGCCCTAACCAGTAACACCACATCGCTATCTGCAGTTGATGATGCCTTTCCAGAAACCGGGGACGATAGCCATCAAAAACAGACACCGACCGTTACCCACGACATAGACCAGGCTTCTGATGTTGTGGAGGGAGGACGGGAGGATAACTTGAAATTCGTGAAGCAGGAAATCACCAGGCAAGCTGGTATGTGCGACCATTGCCACTCATCTTCATTTAGACTGATATATCCTGCATCGCACCAGCCAAATTTGGCTGCAAAATACACGGCGGAAAGATTTTCCCTTGGAAGCTCATGCCAGCCGCACTCGTGGAAGCCAATCTCAGCATCCAAGGATATCCTGCACACAAGTGCCTATTTCCCGGTGAAGCTCACAGTAAACATGCATTAAACAAAGGCATTGGGGCGCTGATGTATAAGGAGATCGCTGCGCTTGTCGATTCGTTGAAGGCAGGCACTATGCGCATCATCAAATTTCCCGACGACGATCGAGGTACGTATCATATTATGGGTAACAATGTCATACTTACACGATATATAGCGGCTGCAATAGCTTCAGAGAAGCCCATAATCGAGGGCGAGGCACCTCCTTCTGAATGGCCCCATCATGGCGCGCGACGGTTGTTCCTTGACGGCCATACTGATCACAATGGTCTTCGTCGCCTCAAGCCCAGCACAGCAACTACGAAGGTCAAGAAGGGTGTTAAAGCACCCAAGCACCCTATACCACCCTCCGAAGATGAACCCTCTGATGATGAATCATTGGAGGGTGTAAGTGTCAATGATGCAGTTGGAACTTCTGCGCTCGAGCCCCTACCTCAAGTGAACGTGCGAAAGCCTAACTACAAAATGCGAGTCGAAGTTGTACCTCCACCCTCACGCCCTTTCAAGGTTGTTCGACTTCCTTTACCACTGCCGCGTCCTTCCAAAGCCGTTCCCATGCCATCTGGAACTCCGAGTGAGGTTATCGAAGTTACGTCTACCGAAGAGAATCCTGTGGGAGAGCCCGACTCTGAGTATGAAGAAGCAGGACGTGGAAAGAAGAGGAAGCTCAAGTCCGCGAATACATCGCGTGCGTCAAAGAAGATTGCCCCGTCGATTGAAAAGACTAACGCTTCAAAAGTGGGGAAGAAAGTTGGGCGAGGTAAGAATAATGTGCAATCCAAGGCACCTCCGCCTCCCTTGCCAACCTCAACTACTTTCCCTGCGAAAGGCGGTCCACTATCCCCATTAACAGTGGGATCGTCGACCGATGGACCTCCATCACCAGAACATAGTGAGTACCATGTGCATCCGCCTTACTGTTTGCTGAAAGCTTGATAGTTAATGCTGGTAAAGCAATGCGCCTTCGAGACGGACCTTCTGATGAGTCTAAAAAGGGTACATTTCATTCTTAACTTCATTGATTCAAGTGATTTAATTTACATGCTCTAGAACATGTTAAACCACGCCCAGTCACCAAGGGCTCTCGGGTGGTGATGAATCGTGGCCTGCGTATGGTGTACGGGAACTCGGACTCTGAGTCTGACGTCGACAACAGCGTGAAGGCTAATTCTGCAACCACAACGGGCGTCATCCCCGAAGCCACTGGTTCAGCTAACATCCAGTCTGATCCTTTGGAGGAGAAGTCTGCACAGACGAAGGATGAAGTAGTAGGAGATAAGGAAGAACTACCCCCAACCGCCCCATTGAATGCAGCGGCCCCCAATATTCCCGACCAGCAGCCTCTTCGTGACTCCAACCACCCTCGTCCCCTCACTCCTCACAAGACTCAGGACGAGCGTCCACATGATAACCTCCCCCATGATGCCCCTCGTGACAGCCCACTGCGCAACGCTCTCCATGACCCTCCACGCGACCTTGTCCGTGACCCTCGAGATGATCATGACCCTCCACGCGCTCCACGCGACCTTGTCCGTGACCCTCGAGATGATCACGACCCTCCACGCGACCTTGTCCGTGACCCTCGAGATGATCATGAGCCTCTCCGTGACCCTCGAGATGGTCGTGAGCCTCCCCGTCACCCTCGAGATGGTCGTGAACCTCATGAAGATGCTCGAAGTGCTGTTCGCGACCCTACACGCAACCATCATGAGGCCGTACGTGACCCTCGTGATGGCCTTCGCAATCCTTGGGATGTTGATCCTCGTTATCCTTACACCCGAGGGTACTCCCATGAACCTGCGCGTGGCCTCGACCGTGGCACTCTTCACCCCCGTGACGCATTCTACCATCGCAATCCCCGCTATGGTCCACCTCAAGATCCTTATGGATCTGGCGATATTCGTATGGAAAGTGACTTGAATACTCGAGACAGCTCACCTGTGTCCGATTTTCATGGTAACTATGGTCCTAGTGAGCGCGAACGTGCCTACCCGACCCGGTACGGTCCTGGGGGTGACTTAGGCTATACTCATGAAGGTGGATACAGGTCCCGGCACAATGACCTCGATGAGCGTGGGCAATCACTATCTCCCTATCATAGTCGTCGAGTTGGTGGAGGGAGTTACCGCGAGGAAGGATACCCTCAAGGCCCCGGTAGGAGATTTCAGGATTCGAGATGGGATGAAGGTGCTCATTTGGACTATGATGCTATACCACGAGCATTCCGTCGCGATCTGCCCAATCCCCCAAGGCCTCCTCCCGCTACTTAATGTCCTCCTTGCTCCTCAAGCGTTTTGTGATGTTTGTCGTTGATTTTCTCTTTTCACCTCATGTGCCGCTCATGCCTACATTCGCTGCTCAAGTGTTTTTGGACGTTTTTAGTTGATCTGCTCTTTTCGCATCATGTGTCGCTCGTGCCTGCATTCGTCGTCTGTTTAGTCTCATTGGCCCTGTCTCGTACCCGCGTGTATACCCTACCCCACCTACATTGATATCTTTGTAACTCGTTTTTGTCAATATCAGTATAGCGGCTCCTCCAAGCCTGCTGTTGCCTCCGAGATCATTAATATGCTTGCCCGGATCTGATGTTTCCGTTAATCAGAACATCACAACAAGTAGATTAAAACATGAAGAAAGTACGAGATAATTGAAATAACATATGACTTGAATAAAAATAACATAGTAGGCACCAAAGGATCAAATAACATAAGGAATGTCAGAGACTGTCAGAGACCCTCGACGAAAGCTAGAGGCCTCCCGAACCTCCCGAACTTCACACATGACCCTCCATTGCAATGTAAGACAGCCCTCCAACCAGTATGGAGGTCTTCATTGCGAGGTCCTGGAGGATACTCTGAAACCTCTGGCGGAATAGAGTGGGAGACCCTCTGGAGAGGGTGGTCTCACAGACTGCTTTCCCATCACATAGAAAGCGGGTCTAACAGACCGCGGGAACACGAGCATAGTGCTGCCAAGGGGGGGCTAAGCGAGGAAGGAATTCAAGGGGAAAGTTGGTGTGAAATAAAGTTCAAGAGCGCACCAGTTCAGAGAGCTCTGATTCGTCGTCGTCTTCATATGCTGCATCATCATATGATCCAGGAAATTTTGAAGGACCCGCTGTTGGTTGCGATTTGGAAGCAACAGGCTAATGTTAATGACACGAATATGAGCTAAAGTGAACAAGACAATGTCAGTGTAAGCATCGAGAAAGGACATACCACTTGCGTGCGCACTGCTAGATGATCATTTGAGCCCATGACCGAACGCAAAACATGATACTACACATTGGCAGCAATCTTTGCAGCTAAATCGTCATGCATCCTCTGTTCCTCCTTCCCTCTCGATTTCATCATTCATCTCCTTGCGGAAGTGCTCGACCTTCTCAACCCGTTCTCGGCAGCCATTACACAGTGTTGGCATGTAATTCTTTCAATGCGTGAGTCTTCTTCGGTCATTGGATGCAAAGAAAAAACCTGAATCAGCGCTAGCAATCATCTTCATATGCCTCTTCTAGACTGCATTCAAGGTCCTTCGATATTTAAGTGAATAGCGACCCAAGGTATGAGGTAGTATTCGATATAGACCTTGAAGTCAAGGGGAGCGAAGGCCTCGTTGGAAATCTGTTCATGGTCGAACATGGAAATATCGCAGGGATTATCGCTTTTCCTTTCTCCCCATAGCTAACAAGATGTCATTAATGCAGGGTGATGTCACGACGCAAAGAGTAACTCACTATCAGGACGAGCGTGATTTGTAACCATTGCCGGTATGCGCTGTCTGCTAGTGATGGCCAGCTTGGAAAATTCTCGTTCGGCGGAGTCAACTTTGCAGACCTGTGGAAGAAGAAAGATCTTCAAGAAACATGCGTTGAAAAAACTGTAGCGCCTTGTGTTCTTATCGGTCATGAGATTCAACTCAGCCTCCATTTGGAGGACTCGATCTGAGACGGTCTAGGTGATGATATTGGCCATCCTCGTGCTTTGGCATGTT